CCCCAAAACCCCAAAACCCCAAAACCCCAAAACCCCTTTAGCATAATCTAAGTTGAATATGGGTCTATTGTGAAATCCCTACTGAAGTCTCCTAAACTATTTGAATGCTTGAAGTAAGTACAGGGAATATTCCATTCTAATTTCTCACTCTATTTATTTAGATAAGCTCATAAGCTGCAAACTTCTTCCTGCTTGTCCTTGTCTTGGGCTCTGGACTATGTGCCCCAGACCTGTAATGATGGAAATTCTAGAGGCTTTAATTGAAATCTTACGTTGTTATTTATCCTTTGAAGGAAGCATCTCGGCCTACTTGTTATCAGCTAGGTAAATGATGGTTAGATACAGATGAAAATAATGCTGCGTTTAGTATTCAATAAGACTATTAGAAGAAAGGATTAGGTAAAGATTTTATCATCATTATTCGGGGTTATAGCTTACTTGTTTCAATCGTTCACCTAGAAAATTATTAATATAATCTTACTGTTTTTAACTTCTTTTTCTATAGATTTTAGGTCTGAACTCTGGAGAGGAGAGATTTCAATTAACCTCTCTTCATCAGATTCTTTCATTTTAGGAGTCTTCAGATGTTTCGAGCTTGCTCTTGGGGTTTTCTTGCTAGGAGATTTAACAAAATTCGCAAATGATTTTGAATGAACTCCAATATAAGCATTTAAATTTAAAGCTTTTCTTTGATAAGAAGGTGTTGGACTAATGGCTAATCATCGAGCCGAATGGTCAGCCTAAACTTTAGCTACTTGAAATACAATCAATTTATTTGGGCTCCCTGCTAATTCTTTCTTCATCCTTCCTGATTGACCATTTGTTAATTTAGGGCTATGTTTATACTCGAGGAGCAAGGATGGTTTGATTCTTCTAATAATGTCTTGCTTTCTTAACCCATCGTTTGGTTTTGAGATATCCTACAAAAATTGTTCATAAATTACCTTATGTTTGACCTTTTCTTGAACAGGTTCTTTAGATGGCTCAGAATCATTCTCTTCAATATGGTCTTTAGAAATAAATTTCCTACGATGTGAATAACTGGAATACAAATCAGCATTTTTTGAAATCTTGGTCTGAAGTCTTTGGAAGGGAGAGGGATCTCTTGAAAGCTTCTTCAGTTGTATCCTAGGAGACATTGCCTTCCTTGCTGTCTTAAGAAACCCTGTTTGATGAATTTGGAGTTCTGACAGTCTATCCAAAGATTAGTTCTAAGAATTCTGAGACAAAGGTAGTACGTTTATTTAAGGAGAATCGTTTCATATTTTAAAAGGGTATTTAGACTACCTCTTGACTATGCTTTTCTTTTTATTCATCTGTCTTAAAATTTTTGGGTAATATTGGGACTTCTCAATTAAACGAGTCGGGGTATCGCATGAAGATATAGACTTAACCGAGCTGTCATCCTTGACTATTTTTTTAGACAACTCCTTACACTTTGAAAACATCGATGGTCTAAATCCTTCCTTGTTAGTATTCATCATCTTTAGAAATGAGTGATTCATGTTGCCAGTCGAGTGTTGGGAGATACTAATCCTTCTGGAATTCTTACTGCCCCTTCTGAGCTTTCTGATTAACGACTTATTTCTAACTTTTCAGTCTCTCTTCTTTTTAAGAACTTCACCATACGGCTGGAATCTAAGTCAACATTAGGAAATTAAGAGTACAATTTATGCAAGTTTTATATTTTGGGAGTAATAATAACAAAATCACCTAAAAGATGGACTGGACAAAAGCAAGGCACGACCTTCCTTGTTCAATAAAATCTTACTTTTTAACGCATTCGACAAACTCCTTGAAGAATTGATTGTTTGGAGAAAGTATGAAGTCTGCAATCCTGGTCCATTCATTAATTTTTGCCTTTTTAGTCTCAAAAATGTTATTTAAATCTGAATTATCAGTATTTTTCTTTATAGTATCAATCTCAGGACTACTGATTAATTTTGTATCCTACCTTTGTGCTTGATGGTTCTTTTTGGGTCTTTCGTTGGTATGACTTTTCTTAGCCTTCTTTGAAGGAGAGTCTTGGTTAGCTTGCCTTAGAACTCTAGAGAATATAACCCAATCCAAACCTAAGTGAATCGAAGATCATGTGTTTATCAAATCCAAAGTCTTCGTTATATGTGTTGTAGTAGTAATACAGCTTGTCCTCAAAGGTGGTCTAAAATAGTCACTGAGAATCATACATCGTCTTTTGTGGAACTCTCGTTGAATGAGGACTTTTGCTTCTTCTTCATCATCCTCTTTAAGGACCTTGGAGATAGGCTGGTTATCTTCTTAGGAACGAACGATACTTTCCTCTTCATTGAGTTTAGCGTCTCCTATATTGAGGTGTTGTAGATAAGGTATTTTTAGAAGCTTAGGTTTTAAAACAACGATTTTTAGGAAAATTGGGGTTGTGAGTAAACCTGTTTGGGGCTTAAGGTTTGTGAAGAAAGTTGATACCAAACTCCCACCCAAACTTACTGCTGAAGTCAAGTCTGTATTAACAGCCGAAGTTTTACTAGTCACTCCAGGTGTCTGAACCCCACCTACAAAGTTAAAAGGAGGCATCATGTTTGATAATTATTTCTATTCCAGACTTTGAGCGTGGGGTTTTGGGGTTTTGGGGTTTTGGGG